CGGGCCACGTGATGGTTCAAGGTCACAGGTCTTTAGCAGGAATGGGGTTATTCAGGACCTATGGCCACAGGGCCAGCCCCACCTCATACCCTTTCAACTTGCCCACACACCTCTCCAGCTTGAGCAGAACAAGATGGGAGCCTGCCGGTCCGCACACTGTCTTGGCCACTGGGACCCTCTGTAGGTTTGCCTCTCCAGGCTGTGGGTTCTGGTTGAGGGTACCCAACCATACCTCATATCCTGTGAGAGGTTCGTGGCTGGGAGAAAGAGACTGCTAAACCAATCTTGTTCCTAGTCAGCTGTCCCAGTTTGTTTTGCTTGTTGGCTTTCATAGGGACAGTGGCAGGGAGAGGTAGGATGAAGGTAAGCTGGGAGACCCAGTCCCTAAACCCAAGGGAGGCTCACCATGACCAGACGCACTGCCGGGCAGTCAGTACCCACTGCTCCATCACCAGGGACCCCCCACAGAAGTGCTGGCCCTGTCTAGAGTAGATTAGGAGAAGCCACAGTGAGTCCCGAGACACACACAAGACCTGCCATTTTGGCAAAGACCTCTGGGTGCAGGGCCAGGCATCCACTTCCCTGCTGGCACAACCACAGTTTACAGCATCAGCTCCTTTCCTGAGGTAAACACTTACGCCTCACCTGTTCCGCAAGCTGACTGTCCATGGTGAGCTCCCAGGCTGGCCTCCCACCACACGGAGTTTGTTGCTCTTATCAACCCTCTTGCCACACTGTTCAAACTGCACCTGGTCTGGAGGATGGGGCGGGATGAAGTTTTCAGTGAGGGCCAGGGTCAAAAAGACTGTACCCACAACTGGCCCAAGCTTGTACCTGGGGGGTCCAGGATGGAGGGTGGCTGGTCATCATCTAGAAGACCAAGTTCATTCAGGTTAAGGGAGCCAGTCTTTGGGGGTGAAGTCTGAAGCCCAACCAAGGGAAGAGTCTGCAGCACTCACCACAGCGTTGTAGGGCACAGTAGTCGAACAGGGTGGCTGGATCAGACGTATAGCACCAGGGCCCATGGCTATCCCCATCTGGGTTCCGGCAGAAGTTTGCCTCCAGCCCGGCCTGCGGTGCTGAGGTGGGTGTGAATCTAGGGGGTAGTCCGAGCAGGCCAGTCAGATCCCCTGCAGGCTCACAAACAAGAAGCCAAGGCATTTTGCCCTAGAGTTGGCGTCTAATCTGGGTTGTGGGTGCACACTCACTGTGGCTTGTGTGGTGTCTCCGCGGACCAGTGCTGGCACTGAACACCCTTGCGGGTCTTGCTGACGAAGCCCCTATACTGTTCACCTGAACCGTGATAGCAGCCTGCCGTGGGTGTGCAAGGGCAGTGGTTAGCCCAGGGTCGGTTCCTGATTCCTGTCCCGGCTCTGTACCACCTGCTCCAGCCTCACCCTCTGGCACCACTTCCTCTGTACAGCGTGGGATCTGGTAGCAAAAGGCCACTCGCAAACCACGTCGAGATGTGAAGCACCAAGGCGCTTCGGAGCCATCAGGATTCCGGCAGAAATTCTCCCGAAGGTCCCTGAGCAAGCACTTCCCTTATGGTAGATGGAGTCCCACCTAGGCCGCCAGCCAACCCGCAGCAGACTGGAACCAGCTGACTCCACCCCCGGGTCGCACCTTCCCATAAGCTCCGCCCCCACCCAGGCGCACTCTCCTGGCTCCAGCCTGTCACCTCACTTGCAAGCATATTTCTCCGGCACAAAGCGGTGCTGGTGCGGACTCTGTGCATCCCACCGCTGGCAGGGCACACCCGCAGAGGTGGTGTTGGTTGTGCCTCGATAATCTTCGCCTTTCCCGCGAAAGCAGTTAAAAGTCTTGCCCTTGTTGCGCCGGTGTGACTTGGATCCTCTGATGGTCGGTGGCAGGTTGGGTCCTGCCCGAAAAAGCTGAAATTGGAGCTGCGCTTGCCAGTCGAGGGTGTCAGGCTTCGCTCTCTACACATGCCTAACTTCTCTACTACCTCCCCCAGTTGAGCCACGCCTGCCAGTTTTCGCCAAATTCCTTCCTAGACTCTGTCCCTGCAGCCTACCGCAACTAGGAAGGTCGCAGAATTCTCGTTCGACGTTTGGGTCTGTGGTGTAGCACCAGGGCCGCTCGGATCCATCCGGATTACGACAGTAGTTGTCGTTCAGCGCTTTGTCGAGGAACCTGGGGGTAGTAACAAGACTCTGGGACGCAGGCCCCTCCGCAGGAGGGCTGAGCCCCACCCTCAGCGTAAGGCTTCTGCCCATATACTTGTTGGGATGGAAAGGGTGCGGGTGAGGGTGCTGCAGGTCCCAGCGTTGACACTCGCGTCCCGACTCTGTAACGTCTACCTCGCCTCGGTAATCCTCGCCATTGCACCAAACACAAACAGCTGGAAACAGAGGGCCAGTGCGTTTCTGGGTGGGAACAGGCCTGTCCCTCCCTCCCTAGTCGTGACACTAGCTGCTTACCCTCCCTGCAGGACTTGATGCCGCAGCTCTGGAACCGCACGCTACGGTTTGTTGTGTAGCACCAGGGGCCTCTGGAGTCCCCATCAGGGTTTCGACAGAAGTTCTCTTCCAGGCCATTCTTTGGTGTGGGTGTATACCTGTAAGCAGAGAACCTCACTACATGGTATGCTGGGGGGGGGGGGAATTCTGCTTCAGGCCTAGCGGCAATGTGTCTGTCTCACTTGTGGTCATTGGGGAACCGGCGGCTCCAGGCTTGGCAGGGCAGGCCATCGGCTGTCCTGGCCACGGTGCCCCGGTAGCTGACCCCGTTGCCCATAATGCAGGTTCGTACATAGTCTGGAAGCAAGAGAGGAAAGATCAGCAGGGGCTGAGGGCTCACGCCTCTTGTTACTCATCCCGTTCCTTCTCACTCCCACTTGCCTTTCTTCTGGAAAAGGTCACACAGACTTGAATGGTGGAGCTGTGTGTGGGGCGAGTACTGAGTCCATGGCAGCAGCTGGCACCCGTGGCTACTCGTGTTGTAGTGGAAGGCTCTGGGAGCAGACGCAGGTTAGCTGGCAACCCAGATTCTCATACCCTCGCCCACATCTAGGCTACTTAGCCACTCACCGACAGTCCAGAAGAGACTCACAGCGCCTTGCACACTCCTCAGGATCCACCACGTCCTCCTGCCATGGTCCCGGTACCACCGTGTGCAGGAGGTTCTTTAACTCTGTGCCCCGGAGCAGCTGGAAGTCATTCAGTGGTGAGCGCTGCCCTGGGGGGTGGGTTCAGGAAAATGACTGGCATATTGGTCCACGTGTTTTAATAGACCCTGTGTTTTGTTCATTTAGGGGCTCAAATACAAGGTCTTTGGTGTGGGCCCTGTGTGTATTTTCAACCTAATCCCCCCACATCCATTCAGTTGGGGAGGCAGGCCCAGACACAGTGATTTTTATCACTAGTCTGTTAGGCCTAGCATGGGGCTTAGGTCTAATATATTCGCTCCAGGAGAATTTGGGTGATGGTGTTTGCCCCCGACACTTGCCCCATCTCATCCCTCGGATGAGAATGCTTGGACTCAGAGCTAAGACACTGTCTAGGGAAGGCTCCATCTTCAGCATTCTGACTCCCAAGTCTGGGCTTTCACCAGCATAAAGACTTAGGTTAGGCTGAAGTGATAGGTTAGGCTTAGGAGCCATGCCCTCTGCGTCTGGTAGCCTCTGTGGTCCCAAGACCGCCTCAGTGCTACAGCATGCATTCTAATGTAAGCCTGATCAGACAGTGTATATTTGAATTCCCAAGCCTTCTCAGCTCTGCTCAGCAGGCCACGGTCACTGATCCCTGCCCAACAGAAAAGTAAACTCTTGCCGAGAATAGTCATACGGGCTTGGGGTGAACTGTCTGAAAGGCAAATAGGAATCAGGGTGGGTGACACTCACCAAGGGCCCTCGAACACTCTGTCAGAAGCAGCAAAAGTGTGACACACCCGATACTCATAGCTGGAGGTTGCACTGTGACCCATCACAGCCCCATCCCGGAAATTGTGAAATGTGTCCCTACAGGATTGGGTGGCTCTGACCCCACACCCCCTCTTTGAACCTGCTTGGGCTTGACTGACACCAGGTCACAGTTGCTAGGTGGGGTCAGGCCTCAGGCCCTTGGGTCAAGTGCAAGGGCCTTTTTAATGCAGCTAGATCCCCAGAGGCCGCAGTTTAGTAGGCAGGGCTCAGGAAGGTTCTATGGGGACACAGTAGCATCCCTGAGGCAGAGCCCCTACCCTGTGCCATCACCACCACAGCCAAGAGCACTGCATTGGTCTTCCTGCTGCTGTCTATCCCTGAGGGAGCATGTTGTTGCTGCAGCTGCTCCAGAAACCGCATGGAAGTCCCTGGTGCCTGCCTCACTGTAGAGGTCAGACTATATGGGTGATTGAGTTTACAAAGTCGAAAACTGGAATTTTCAATTGCACTAGCCACTTTTCAAGAGTTCAGGGATTACGGTGGCCATACTAGACTACAAGGCACAGGTGTGCCGTCCGTCACCACGGACACGTCTATGTCCAAAGACACTGCTGGCAGGAGCTGCCAGGACTTTCCAGCCCCTGTAGTAGACTTTTCTGGGCCTCGGTTTCTCCCCAAGCCTAGCGCTGCCCCTCCCGCTTCTAACTGCCTTATCTGCTGAGTCCCAGCTGCAGGCTGGTCGGCCCACACCCCAGCAGCGGAGCCTCGGAGCATCCACTACCTACTACAAGTGTCATTCCAAGGTAGGTGAGCAAGCTCTCCCATTGGATCTGGTGCAGGGAGGGCGTGTGCACGGGTGTGACAGCAAGTTTGCTGACAGAAGTGGCTTTTCAGGTATCCTCGGCTGCAGGTGAGTCAGGCCTCCATGCAAGGTAGGCATTGAGACAGGTGACCTAGGGACCAATTAGAACATAGTCCCCGGCTACGGTCGGGCTAGGGGAGACGGGGGTCCGAAACAGTTGGACCGGCAGGTGAAACAGAGGTGACTGCTTCGGTGGGAGTCTTCGGCGGGGGAGGGCTTTCTGCCAGCAAGGGCCTGTTGAGGTCTGTGCGTATGCGCGTGCGCGGCTGGAGGAGCGGCGCGCGAGCGGGCACGCGGTTTGGCCCTGGACGGGTGCCGTAGCCGAAAAGCTGGGCGGATGTTGTGAGCCGGTCGCGGAGGCTGAGGCTGGGGGTGAGTGAGAGGCCGCCTGGCTGTGAGCCGGGTGGGTCCGGTGGCTCCCCTCGAGGCCCCGGGCCGTTCCAGTGCGACAGCGCTTGCCCCTGGGAGTGCCGCGGCCTGCGGTATAGGACTCCCGGCGGGAGCTGGCCTGACAGGTCCCCCGGAGCTTGGGGCCAGGCGGGAGCGACCTGGGGGAGCATGCGCTGCCCTTGGCGTCCTTGGCCACTCAGACCTAGTCGGTTCGGTCCCGAGCCTGGATCTCTTGGGAGGGCTGGGCAATAATGGAGTGACAAGGGAGCCCCGGGGCAGGCGCAGGTTCCGCCTCTAAATCCTCTACACCTGACACCCAGAATGGGCGTCTGGAAGGCTGGCTTCCAGTTCTTCTTCGTAACTGCGTCCAATAAGTCCTGCAACTGCTCCGATATAAGGGGGACCGGTTGTGGATGTCCTTCGTGGGTCTCCGTAGGGAGGCACAGCCGCAGAATCACCTTCCCGAGCCTGGCGTGGTGCAGGCGGGCAAGGGTTTGTGGCAGGAGCTGAGGGCCACCGTGGGATGCGGGAAGAGTGGGCTGCGGAAAAGAAATACTGGCTCAGGCAGTGACTGAAGGCCACGCTCCGGACAGGCGCTGATACAACTTTCTGCGTCGGTGGTGATGGCACACCTGTGCCTTGCAGTTAGGACAGTCACGCGTGGTCGCCGGACTCTTGAAACTGCAAATTTCCGTTTGTAACTTTGTACACTTAAGCACTCCTGTCTCCCGACTACAGTGTTGGGCAGCACACCTCTATAGTGAGGCAGGCACCAGAGACTTCGTGTAGTTTCTGAAGCAACTGCAGCTACTCAAGGGATAAGACGGTGGCGGGAAGACCAATGGAGTGATCTTGGCTAGGGTGGTGATTGCATAGAGTAGAAGTGTGTGTGTGTGTGTGTGTGTGTGTGTGTGTGTGTGTGTGTGTGTGTGAGAGAGAGAGAGAGAGAGAGA